GCTCCAGCTGCCCCGAGTGTGGGGGGTGTCTGCTCGCAAGGAGGTCGCGCAGCCCCGTGAGGGGACGGCAAATGGACGCCGAGGGAACCATCTTGCCCCCCCCGGGCAATGCGCAGGCCTGCAGGTGGTCTCCGTGGCCGCTTGTAGCCGTTAAGTTTTCCGGTAGCTTTATCAGCCTTATCTGCCTGTCCCCAAATTACTGCAGATAAGAAGAGCGTGGTATCCCGCACGGATCACGTCTTGGAAATCGGCGGCAGATGCCTGAAAATAGTCATCCAGCCGGGAGAAGGGGACCTGAGCAGGAGCCCCTTTACAGAGCAGGCCTCCCCCAGCTTCTCTGTCCCTTCCAGCTCTTCCCCACCTCAGCAGGAGCAGCAGGCGGTCACAGGCCATGGAGAGATGGCAAGAGAAGCCCTTACCAGAAAGGTACATCAGGAAGAGTGGTAATGAACAGTGTCATGACCTGCCCCTCTTATAGTTCCAGGCATCCTTTGCGTTGCTTTGTGTCACACTTCAGTATTTCCTGCCAGGCAAATGTTAGTTTTGTTGTCTTAGCCAATAAAACGGGGATGAGGAGCAACTTTTGAGTGCTGGACCACAAAGCATCCACACATGTTCACAGGCAGCATGTTCTCCAGCATGGCTTTGGCCCATGCCAACCACTACTCCCCAAAGCGGCACCCTGGCAGGTTTCAGGGGTTAATATGCACCAAGGACTGCTGCCAAAAGGTGAGAGAGTTGTATGATGTTTGTATCCCTCTTGTCATGCAGACCTCTTAACACTATTTCAGCATGTTTTGCCCCTTCAGACGACTCTAATTGCTTCCACCCTTTACCTCAGTGTTAAAATATCCACTCTGGTGTAAAGTAGCACAGCAAACGTTATTTCAGACACTTTGAACTAAAAGTTATGCAGAAAAGAAAAGATCAACGTGCAGTAGGGACATGGGGTGGGGCCAGGCTCCATGTTAGATGGTATGCATGCGGCTCTACTGAGACACTGATACCTGGCCCAGAGGGTTTACCCTGTTTTCTGTAGTAGCATAGATTAGCTTTTAAGGTATAGCATGTGGTAAAGTAGTGGTTATCTGACATATGTAGCAGTATACTGCAAATTTCCCTGTCCCTTTGTGCAAAATAGAGATGTGAACACGTTTGTTGCTGTTTTTCAGAATCCTGTTTTCTGCCTTAACCCTGAGGTACTAAAGCATGATGTTTGGGAAGTTTTTAAAGAAAGACAGTAAGAAAAAACTAGAAAGTCTAATATAATTAAAGGGCAATGTACTATAACTCGTGCTGTTAAAACGTGTTGTGTTTCTGTCACCCAGTGCTAAGGGCACAGACAGGTTCTTTTGGGGATCCTTGGGAGAGTGATGATTGCACTAAGTTGTAGTCACAATTAAAGCTTTTTTTTTTTTAGTAGGACTTTATGATTAGCATAGCATAGAATTAATGATCAGAATAGCACAGGATTCTACAAGCAGAATCAGTGTAGTACAGTTTTATAAGTAGCATCGCACTGGATTTTGTAGCACAGCTTAGCTTATGGTTTCTAATCACTTGCACCCTCTGCAGACCATGTCAAGTCTTAGTACTTGGCTTGCTGTGTCAATATACCAATCACAATCTAGGCTGGAAAAACCCATAAAATATTACGAGTCATTCACTCAGTCCTTGGAGGAAGCAGAGGACAGTGGAGGTGTCACTGGCCGCTGGGGGATCACAGGTCTCCCTGCCCAGTAGCAGTTACAGTCCATGTTCCCATTTAGGACTTGTAACTTTAATTTTGTAGACAGTGCTCTGCATGCTGTTATGCTTCCCTGTTCTGTGGCGGGGTCATCACCACCTGGTTGGCGGGGTGCCTGGGACCTTCAAGGCTGGTAAGGAGGGGAGTAGCTGGCCTGGTGCCCAGGAACCTTGAGGACAATAGGGAGTGGAAGAAGCAAGCTGTTTGCTTGGTGCACAGGACCTTCCGGGCCTGATAATGAGGGGAAAAGGGACTAATACATGACCAGCTCGATCGCAGAGAATGGCCGTTTGCCTTACAAAATGGTGTTAGTTACGCTAACCTCATTAGCAGAGGTCAGGAGCGGGGGGGTACTGGTCACGGTCTCAAACTAAATAGCAAAGTTACTGTCTTTGTTCCTGCAGCGCTGATGACATTAAAAAATTTTGGATTTGCTGCTGACTTAGAAGCAGATTGCTTTACTTCTGTGTATGTCAAGTCAGTGTACGTGACATAAAAAAACTCTACTGTGTGCAAATGTGTATATAGTAATCTGGCCCTGTTGAGATGTACAGAGCTTTTTCTTACTCAAAATACAGAAGCAGCAAGCAGAGAACCTTAGAAAAAAGACACTGATATCTTCTTGTCTTCTCTTTAGATATTTCTTGCAGTGTCTGCAACTTTGAATACCAGTATGTTCACTGAAGAGCAAAGGGAGAGAATTACTATTATATGTCCAAATTTAAAAAGAGAAGGAGATCCTGATACTGATGGCTCTGAGAAATTGACGGGAGATTTTACAGATATTGAAAAAGCTTATCACTACTTTAAGGATATCCTTGCAGGCAATGACCCAAACCGTGATTTTTCACATTCTGAAAGCAAAAATGGCTTGAAAGATGAAAATGGTCTGAATGCTGAAGAAATGAACGAGCTTATAGTTCCATCAGCTCTCTATGAATATTTCAGTCATACCTGCAAAGAACAAATCCAAAAACTATGTGAACGTTTTGGAGTGAATATACGAAGTAAAGATGATCACAGTGGAACCATGTTCATATGCTTCACTTCCGCTAAAAGTCCTGCATCAATACAAAAAGCTAATGATGCTTTTATCAGGACTTTTCAGAAAAGTGTAGAGCATCTGAAACAGGAAAAAATTCCCATAACAAACAGTTACCCATTAAATGAGACAATAATGAAATTAAATGCTAAATTTGGTAATCTTCTTGCCAAAGAGGAAGGGAATCAGTTGCTACTCCGTGGTCCAGAAAGTGAGATTTTAGCTGCCAAACGATTTCTAGCAAAGGAAGGTGAGAACAGCCAAGCTGAAAAGAATGTGAAAAGATCATCTGAACTGTACAAATACAGGAATGGAATTGAAGTTGATGCTTCTGCATTTAAATTGTTGGAAACAATACTAAGCAAAGAAATTGAAGACATTAATGACAAATTTGATACACTAGTAGAAAAGAAAGATGGTTCGTATGGCCAGAAGATGCTCGTAATATTTAGGCCTCGGATCAAAACTTCTGATATGTCCTCACATGCTACTGAAAGTTTCATCGATGCATTTCAGAGTGCCTCTGCAATGTTAAGAGAAAAACCCATCAGCTCCAAGCTTTCAGAAGATCAGAAGAAAAGATTAAATATGCTGCTTGATGGAAAACAATTGGAAAATCTGCATGTAAAACTTAAGAAGAAGGAAGACAAAGTCATCTTAAGTGGTTTACCAAATCATCTTTGTGCTGCTGAAAAGCACATTATGAACATTATCACTGAAGACTCAACACAAACTAAAAATAAGACACCACTGTTCTCTGATCTCCTCTATCAAGAAGCTACAGGAGCATCTGAAAAGAAATACAATGGCAAGCAAAACAATAATCTTTCTTCTGAAGGACAGGCTAAGGCAACGACAGAAGGAGACGAAGATGTGTGTCCGATTTGCATGGAGACAATTAATGATAAAGAAGTACTGAGAAAGTGCAAACATGTGTTTTGCAAAAGTTGCATCAGCCAGGCCATGACTTACAAGCAAACTTGTCCTGTTTGTAGTACCGTCTATGGAGTCGTGAAAGGAGACCAGCCAGAGGGAACGATGTCAACTGAAACGCTGTCTTTACCTCTCCCTGGTTATCCCAATTGTGGTACTATTGTGATTACATACAAGATGCAAAGTGGTATTCAAACTGTAAGTGTATTAAGGATTCATAAAAGATATTTTTCCCACAACAAAACCAATATTGAATATAAAATTAAGTATTTTCCTGCCATTTTAATGCATGTCCAGGAGAGCCATTTCTTTGTTCTGTACAAATCTGCAAGTACTTAATTCTGTATCCTCGGGTGTGATTAAGTAATGCAGTAGGACTTAAATAGTCAAAATGGTAGCCCTCTGTTTTATATGCACCAGGACAGAGCTACCTGTCTTAATGTGTACACTGAGAATAACTGAACTGAAACCTGTGGAGTGATATCATAAAACCAAAGTTTTGCAAGTATAGTGAGGGTTCTCTGAGGTGTTCTCCTAGCTGCTGACACCAATGGACAAAAATGAATAGTGGGCTGGCTTGTAAGCTTTCCAGGGGAGAGGTCAGCTTATTTTATGTGCTTAGAGTCATGGCTAGGACTGAAAATCGGATAAATTAAAAAATTGGGGGTGGGGTGACGTGCAGTTGGGAGAGCAAAGAGACAAAACCACATTTAACAATGGATGCATGAGTGATGGCAGGAGAATGTGAATTAAACTTATATGAAAGAAACTGGCTAATGAGGAAAAAACCACCTCAAAATCAGCCATCAGTCATGCTATGTCCTTCTGATTCAAAGATGGGATAAAAAGTATCGTGAAAGCTGGGATCTGTGATTTTCACGCTTTCAAAGCGTTTTTCATATACAATGTGGGTTTATTTTGTTTTTCTACAAAACAGAGCAACCATCCAAACCCCGGGGAGCCTTACAGCGCCACTTCTCGAACAGCGTATTTACCTGACAATAAGGAAGGGCAAGAAATTCTGCAGCTCCTCAAAAGAGCCTTTAACCAAAAATTGATTTTCACAGTGGGGCAGTCACGTACTACTGGTGCACAAGATGTTATCACATGGAATGATATTCACCACAAAACTTGCAGGACTGGAGGACCCAGCAAGTAAGTAGTCTTCTCTTTATGTCATTTTGTTGCTACTCAGATGTGTCAGGAAGGCTACCCTGAGTATTTTCCACTTTAGAGCCTTCAGATTTTGTCACTGAGTGATTGTGGAATGCTGTATGGATCCAGGCTTGAACCACCTTCACCAGTTTGGACAGTTGGAACAAGGATGAGCTTAGCTTTCTGTTGCCCCTCAGGCCACTTCTTCACCAGTGAGTTGTGTAAAGGACCTACTCAGTAACTGCTCTGATGAGAAACTACTTCAAGTTCAGGACAGGACAGCAAGCTCCAGATAGCAGCTAAGGTTGGACTCCTGATCTCAGCCTCTTCTGTCACCAGCTGTTTTGCACCAGGAGGTGCTGGTCCATTATGATCCCAGTAAAGATGGCACTCGGACTCTGTAAAACATGGTTTGAAATTCTACTTATTAGAGCTAACAGCAAGAAGAAAGAGGTTGTAGTGTAGATATGGTTATGTCCTTTTAGATGCTAGGAACCCCAAGTTGCGCAGCATTCCGTGGGCCTCTGATGAGAGCACAGGACACCATGCTGGCCCCGTGCATGGAAGGTGTTACCCTGCTTTGATTGTTTAAGCTACTACAGGATTTTCTACGTAGAAGACAACTCTGTTCAGCATTTCTTGAGGACATGCTGAGCTTGTAGATAGAGGCGAGGACACACAGGTGGTGTACTCACTGGTACCCAGTAGGAACTGCCCACAGCACCTCTCTCAGAGGGAGCTGGCTGAGCTGTCCCGCGGCCACAGGACATGCACGGCCCAACTCACGCCTGAAGGCCACACCACATGTGTGGCACAGGCCTGGGCCTGCCCGGTTAACTAATGTGGGTCACTAATTCCTCAGTGTATAACGGTCTTACGGTCAGGGTCACCACAGTCCACCCCTTACTGTGTGTAGAATCGACCGTATTTTAAAGATATGATTAACTACAGATCATGTCAGTAAACTGGTTCCTGGAAAAAATCTTACAGAGACAAGAGGGAGGCTTGGAACAGTCCTTTCAAGCTTGTTGCAGCCTCTCAGGAGGAGGTGTCTTCCTGCAAGCTCTAAAGATTTGTGTCTAGGTCCTCCTTCCTGGGCTAGGATTGTAAAAAAAGGAAAAAGCATCAGTTTTACCTGATTCCCCCCTCTGCCCAAATGCTCTCCTTAGCACTCCGTAGACGCTGTTGGCGATGCACTAGTTAAGATCCAGAGGTGCCACTGTGTTTGTTTTCAGTGCTCGCGTGGATATGTTTCAGGTGTGATTTTTAGAAAGATGCATACCCACGCGCCCCATCGTTTTGAAGTGACACAGCAAGCAGCTTTGAAATCAAGTTCTTAGTGTCAGTTTGGACAACCAAAATCAGCAGCTCCTTTTCTGAAGTTTTTAACTTTACCCTGCCTGTCCCACCTCTCTGACCTGTGAAATAGGGTCAGTTTTCTCTGTAGAGTAAGCTTAAAATTTGTAAAGTGTTCCAACAGGTTTTGATGAGAAGGTTCTGTAAAATTGTCAGGTGCTTCATTGCAGAAGTAGCCCAAATAATTCTTTTCTTCTTCTCCTAGTTTTGGTTACCCTGATCCTCATTATCTGCAGCGGGTTCGATCAGAATTGAAAGCAAGAGGAATTGAATAAAGAAATTTATCAACTGTCAACTCTTAAGTGTAATAACTGATCATGTAGTGGTTAATTACTACCCAAGCACTAAGAAGAAGGTTCAACTGCTGTACTTAAGTCACTGTATTTCGCATTCAGCTAAGAAAAGTAATCTTTTTTCATCAAACAATATATGTTCTTTTTATGCATCATTTACTTCCTTGAATAATACTTCCCTGTATGTGTAGCCCTTACAGAATTTGGGTCTTGTGAGTGCAGCATTGGTACTTGTCGCACTTGTTCAGTACCAAATTGTGTATCTTACTTTATCAGTGAACCTGGTCTGTGCTTCTTCCCACAAGTCTTCAGTCTGACCACCAACCCGATAGATCCGCTACTAGCTGTTATTCAATCAAACGCTTGCTTTAGCTTTGTGTTACTACGTCTGTCATCAGGGACAGCACCATGTAACCCATCTACTGGAAAATTTTTATGCAGCTGTATATATTATGTATAAATGTGATACATTTTTATAGTATCAACTCTGATCAGGCTATGATCTTTTGCTTCTTTTCAGGGTAGAAACGGCATTAGTGGTTTGGGGTTTAAACATGAAATTAGTATGGATGAGGTATGAGGGGGTATGTGGATGCTCCTGTATTTTTAACCCTGCAGAAGTGCTGAATGCTCAGAGCCACGCTGGAGCAAATGGCCTGTGGCCATCTCTGATAATGGGGTCCTGGTTTTGTGCCTTCCATCGTGTTTAAGCTTAAATACAACTTTTATGTCAGCTTTGCGACTATAAAACTGTATTCTTCCCGTTGCTTCCAAAATATAGTTTAAATTGTACTATAAAGATACTTTGTAGCTACTCTGCACTAAATAGCCTCCTGATTACTTCTGTGGTGGTGTGAAACAAATAGCTTTCACTTAATGCAGCCATAATTGTTAGTGAGTTAAACCTTGTTAGGCTGCTGACTATAACTGGTAAATAAAATATAAAAATACCATTTGCTTAGTTCTGCATTCTTCTGTACAGGTTTTTCCTCCTGTTTTAGATATGTATAGTTGGTTTTTATTTTTTTTATTTAGGAACTTCCCAGCAATGCCATGATTTGGGGTGATTTGTACCCCATGCCATCTCTTTTTTTTTTTTTTTTTAAAGATTCCCACATTGTGAGGAGGCAGTTCTACTTTACCCCTTTGACTTTCAGATTTCATAGTGTTGGGCACTGTTTGGTTTCCTCGTGGGTGGGATGACTTTCCTACTGTGGTTTTGTTTTACTGTATCTGTTTTCACATTTTATACTATTTCATGTTCCCTCCCTTTTCTGTGCAGTAAGATACCAATATTCCAGTTGTTTCTAAATAATGGTGCTTTTCTGCAAACCAAAACAAGCTGTGGAGATCAATTCGCCCCAACTTCTTTTGGTCTCTTGTTTCACTTTCTGTCCCAGTAAGCCAGTTCACCCATGTCAGACCCCTGTCTGATAATTCACCAGTTCCCATTTTATCTGTGGCAGTTTGCAGGCTGGGTTTTGCAGCAGAGTCCTATTGAGTGTCACTGAAGGCTCCCAAGCCTTTATCCTATAGCCAGCTGTACAGACCTTTACTTTCTAATCATAGCTGTACAGTTTAGGAATAAATCTACCCGATTTGCAAAGTCGGGTATTTTGCCAGGGTTGCAGCAAGGGAGGAGAGCGTGTCCCTGGACTAACTGCTGGGAGAACAGCACATTAGAAAGCAAGAGGTTAATTGCCTGCTGAGAAACAAAGGCGACTCCACGGGTCTGCTCAGCGTCTCAGTGTCTGACTACTCCTGTATTTGGGTGACATCTGCCCTTGCTTATGGTATTTAATGACATTTGGTTATTACCTATTTCCACAATGAACTTGCGGGGAAAATTTTTCATTTGTCTGTCTCGTATTTGGGCACATGAGTAAAATACGCAGCGAGAAACAGCTGAAAACTGTAATCTTCAAGGGGAAGACCTGAGCCCTCAGTTGAAAATGTCTCAGCTCGCTGACACGTGGGTCTGAGGAACTTGCTCTTTCGTTGCCACCTTGCACAGCTGACGGAGAATGGTGGAAACGGGTAATTTCAGTTTGTTTCATGGCTTGTTTTGAAAACGCGGGAGAGCGAGGTCTGTATGATCCAGTGCCCAACTCACCGTAAGTTCAGGCATTGGAAACAGCTGCATTCCTAAAACCGGTTGCTTGTACGACTCTGTGGCAGGACAAGGCCGCCTCTA